AGAAAATTTCTTTTTTCCTTTTTAATAGCAACGAATAAATTCTTAGCATTTCTTACTCTTGAACATGCAACATACTACTGGCCATACGCGAATATTTCTTTCTGGATCCAAATCCCAACTTTTTGAAGCATTTTGCCTTGCAATTTGTTTATAGTGCTCGCAAACGCATGTCGAACTGGAAATTGGATTCTTGTGCAAAAAAACTTACAGAAAAGATATGCAAAAAAAACGAAAAAAAATTATTGCGTTTTTATTAAATAAATATTTGTTGATTTAATTATTAAATTGTTTTTAAAATAGTGAGAGTATTTTGTATGTTAAATAATAAAATTTAATTTTTCCCAAAAAATAATGAAAATTTATTGTACTAAGCTAAGCACCATCGACGATTCCCAAACAGTTCGTCTTCCTAATTTCACTCATAAGGGTTGACTCAAGTATAGTTTTCAATTACATTGCAAAGGTAACTTCTTAATGTTATCGGCTTCAAAAGACAAATTGACCATGGTAAGTTTACAACCCAGGAAATGCTCGGAAAGCTAATGTTCTAATCAGGAATACGTGCCTATATATATATATATATATATATATATATATATATATATATATATGGAGTCAGGAACACTGCATCATGGCTTGGGTGACGGACACCGTTTAAGGGAGGTAACTAGATATGCTGTAGAAATCTTCCGGACTTGAGTAGTAGCCATGACACAGCGGTTCTGACTCCACATATAAAAATGGTAATTTTCGGATGAACACAACAATTTTAGTCCTTCACAACCATGAACACTAAACACATACTCTATAATTAACAATATCCTGATGATGAAATTATGGTATGTCGAAAGTACTCGGAAATAAATACAATATGAGCTAATACGGTGTTTTCTCTCGTCCTTTTAGTAACCGCACGAAAAAAAAAACTTATCCGCGAATATAAAGGATCCTATCGAGAATAAGTAGACAGAACATGTATAAATTATTTAGCGAAACCTGTCATTGAAAATCTGCCGCCTCACACACACACACACACATATATATATATATATATATATATATATATATATATATATATATATGCCTCATATATATATATATATATATATATATATATATATATATATATATATATATATATATATATGAGGCATTAATGTATTTATTTTAATCCGACATTTACTTCAAACGTTATTATAGTGGATACATCGTATTTGAAATAGATGTCCCATTTTTATTTATTAAAAAGTGTATATTATGTCTATCGGCCTGCGTATTTTTGAGCATTTTCGCCTTTTCTTTATTTCTTTGTTTATTATATATGCTTCCTTTTTCAGCGTATCTGATATTTATCTTTTTTCTCTCGTCTTTTCTCACGATTAAAATGGAATGATTCATTATATTGTCCTTCTTAGGTAATAACAGGATGTAACGCATGCGCTTACAAACAAAACAAAGGGACACGCAGAATTATAATACGGTTTTTCAAAGAGTCTTTTCACTTTGAATATTCATCAACTTTCTTCAAATATCTGACAACTGAAACAACCCACAATACTTCAGACGATATAAACATACAGTAGATCATCGAGAGATCATGAATAATGTGTTCACTTTTTATGTTCGTCATATTGCTAGCTTTTTTATGCGAATTTTCACGCAGTACACGTCTCAAGATCCACTGAACGTAGAGAGTTACTGTTAAAATTGTTATAATAAATGAGATATGTTATATAAAAGAAAAATAAGGTGATAAGAAATGAAGATTATAAGGATAAAGAGGATAAATACAACTGACCCTTGTCTTTAGAGTTCCTTCGAAAAAAAAAGTCGCTTCTGTTATAGGTGATAAGAAATGAAGATTATAAGGATAAAGAGGATAAATACAACTGACCCTTGTCTTTAGAGTTCCTTCGAAAAAAAAAGTCGCTTCTGTTATAAAATTAGAAATTCACTCCAATTTTTAGAAAGTTTATATGTTAATAGAAAATTTATTTGATTCAGACTTACACAAGCTGGAAAAGCTAGGGACGTGACTGTACTCTGATGTTCCAGTGGTTTTACAACTCATTTGATCAACTTGTTTTCACCAGGCAACACTGGAGAGAAATTAAATTGTCAAGTGGTCTGAGGTCGGCCTGTTCATTTCCGTCTTGTTCTGCCACCAATCTAATATTAACATTCTACTCCGCTTGAGTCGATGTCCTCGGTTTCACCTTCGCAATCTTGCCGACGAAATGTACACCAATCACGATTTGTCATCATCTCAATTTCGCAACTGCCGCTAACCGGACACCCCACTGACGTAAACAGGAGGAGGATTGAAACGCTACTATTTTCTTCATCATTAATGTGACGTCTGTTCGCGCAGCACCCATATCTTCTTGACGCGATAATTTTTCAGTGTCTTCACCCGCTCAGAATATACTTGAATATCGGTTTCTTCGAGTCCATCGGCCAAGGTTCAAGACAGGTGAACACAGGGCATTTGATCGTTCGATGCGAATATTGAAATTATTTAAAATGGCCGTGAAGATATGGTCGGCAAGCGAAACATTTTTACTCTGTAATTTCACGTCAGTATAATTTGGTTAAAAATGTGAAGTGCGGGCGATATTCAGTACCTGGCTTAGTCATATATAAAAAAATATTTCAGAGGTTTGTCAGAGCAAAGGTATTAAAGGAAAGCGGCAAGAAAGAATATAAACTGTAAGAAGAAAGAATAATTGTCATCAAGTAGGACAACCCGAGATGCGAGCTACGAATTGGAGATATCACATTCAAACACGCATAGAAATTTAAATATGTGTGAAATAGTTAAACAGATGATGGAAAATGTGACATCGAAATCCAAAGGTCCTTTTGAATAGTGAAATTTTCTATTTTCTTTAAAGGTTCCTCGTTGCTGACATATTTCGTCTATGATATTCTCAGTATCTTTCTGTAGAAGTATATTTCTATTACTTCAAATCTCTTCTTCATCTGTCATATAGGAGGAATGATATATAATAGTTCGGTACTCGTCTTTGTTTCTTACGAAATGTTTCTGTTTCTTAATACGTTGCTTAGCTTTTGGAAGTACAACTATCATTTTAGTGGGCATATTCTTTAAAACTTCCTCGTTGTTCACATATTCCGTCTATAGTATTCTCAGAATTCTATAGAACCACATCTCTGTTGTCTCGTTTTCTCTTCATCTCTAAGGAAAATTTCCAGCATTCACTTTCATATAGGAAGATTGATATTATATAACATTTAGCATCATTTTGTGATTTTTTAACGAAATGTTTAATTTTTTTTTAATAAAGTTATATATTATGTATATAAACTTTAGCTTTTTAAAGGCATATGTCGCTATTGCAATGCGTGTTCAGATTTCGGTGTATCCTAATCTAATTAAATGCTATAGCCTTATATTCTCTTACAAAGGAACGATTGGTTATTGACAAATCACATAGTGTAAATCCAGAAAGAAGCATAGCAACTGAATTGTTTTTTTTTTTTGCATGTGTGTCTTATTTAACCCGAATACTTTCAAAGAACAAAGTTTTAAGGAAAATGGAAGCAAAAACACAAATTTCTACGGCACATAATGTGGAAAGGTGCTTATGTAAAGGTTGGCCGAACAAGCATTACAAGATAAAGTAGAAAGAAAAACTTACTAAAAGCTATAAAAGACATGAAATTGCGGAGAGCTATAATTGCCTACATCCCGACGACACACGCGGTACATAGAAGAAGAAGAAGACATATTTAGTTTTGATAAAGATTGTATAATTAATAGAGAAGAATATTTGAAGACATTATTTACCGGACCGTTGCTTAATCTTAATAATCTGTTTTATTGTTAATGAAGTGTGTGAAAATTATTCTATATGCTGTGTCTCTTCAGGACATGTTGACTATGGCTCCCCACAATTTATTGTCCTCCATAACTCTTAGCAAATTATCTATTTTTACTATCTCTCCTAATTCATGTTCTGCCGACCATTTACACAAGCTTGTTAGGTAGGTTATCTGCTGCTTTCCTCTGTCACTCTTGCTTTCAATATATCCAGTGAACATCAAATTTTCTAAAACCTCTTTTCGTGTTATGTGTCAATTGTATCTTTCTTATGTTTTTGTGACCATTTTCTCTAAAGCATCCTCGTTGCTCACATGCTCAGTTCATGGTTATTCTTAGCATCCTTCTCTAGAACCACCCTTTTAATGCTTCAAATGTCTTATTCATGCGTGAGGAGGTTGTCCAGCATTAACATTACTAAATCATTTTCGTAAAATTATTTTTCAGACGATTGCTGCCTATAGAGTTATTGTAAATAAAACAATGATCAGTTTTCGGTTTTACATTTTTGGCTCATTTCACCTGGACGAGTATTTTATACTGGATTTAGTTGATTTAATTCTTCTATAATAGGGAGGATTAGAGTATAAAAAATTCAAATCTTAGATTCTGATTTTCTTTGTCGAGTCACAATTGCTGGAAAATCAGGTTTGCAAACAGCTTCATGCTCATTTGTATAAGACATGTCAGTAACGCAAAACAAGTGAAATGGTTTCAGTTATAGTTTTCCAGTATTTTTTTCTAATATTGACGACGGAACACGCAGCTTAGAATTCTCCCTCTTGAAGTTGTTGAGAGCATCTGGAACATCACAATTTCGCCGCTTGCACACGATGTTTACGCGTTACGTGACGTCCATAATAAGTTGAAAATACTTTCAGAAGACAAAGGTTTTTTCTTATAGAGAATATTATACCTTATTTTTTTTTATGGAGCTAAGTCCCACCATGTCATGTACACAGGGGCGAAGCATCCTCGTAGCCTTGGTGTTCAACTGGCAAGTAGGAAGTGCCTCAAGAGCAGCTTCTTCCACAAAACCGCTGCTTTGTATAACAAACATCCCGACTTCTACAAACTTAACTTTTTCAAGTATAAAGTTTAACCGTTACCTATTCTACTTATCCTTATAATCTAAGATTCTTATATCTTTACAACAACCCTCGGTTCTCGTACGATCACCGAAGTTAAGCATTGTTGATCCTGGCCAGTACTAGATGGGTGACCATTTAGGAAAATCAAGTGCTGTAAACTTGAACGTGAGGGTGGTGTAATGGATAATAGCTCGGAATTTTTCTTCTCCCCAGGTATGGGTTAATTAGTAAGACTTGTATAACTAAAACCATTATTATCGCAAGAGAAAATCATATACAAAATATTTATATTTCGGCATTAAATAGCCCATAGAGGTTGATACGCCGCTAAACAAAAAATAAACACACAAACACACGTGTGTGTGTGCATGTTCTTAAAGTATTAAGACACATTTCAAGTTTATCTCAGTTAAAAAAATATAGTTGTCGGCCGGGATGCAGGATTCGTGTCAGTTTTTCTGATGTATTAAAACTATGTTAAACTTAACCAAATTTTACAAAATTGATTTGGATTAATGTTTTTTGTCTTGGTAAATTCTATTTTCAGCAATAGTTAATTAGTAAGACTTGTATCACTAAAGCATTATTTATAAATCATTAATGTCTCCAAAATTCTTATAATTTAGATATAATTTCTGGCATTAAATAACATGCAAAGGGTTGATAATCCGTAGAAAAAAATAACCCTCTACATAAAAAGAAAGCCCTTCTGGCATGTTTTACAAAGTTACATTTTTCCTAATATTATCACGCATTCAAACTATTTTCTTCTTTGGTAGAGGCACTAGCGTAAGCGCTAATAATGCATTAAATATAAAATAATAATACATAATGATAAAATAATAATATAATATTTGTGATCTTGGCATTTTTTTCAGCCCTAAAGACTGATTCTGAAAACTTCATATTAAACGTTTGACTCATTTATTCCTTGCGTCTGTTTTTCCAAAATATCTTAGAGTCGTCAAATCAATTTGAATTTGTATCTATTACTAAGGATTCCTCTGTACTAAATTGAAATTTGAACACAAAATCAATTGATATAAATCCTAAAAATGTTTTAAAATGCATAAGAAATAATGGAGTACAATATCGCATTAATTTACGAGAAAATTATCAATATATTGGACTAATAAATACAAAATGTGTAATGGTGTATGAGGAAATATAACACCTGTTATCTTGCGATGGTTAAATGTCTAATGTTACAATTCATTTCCATGAGTTTTACGTTGTGTCGAGTATTATGTTACCTAGGTTTTCGTATTATGAACAAAATGACATCAAAGAGAAATGTAGCAGAAACAAATGTAAAATAACCAGCAAAAAACCTTGTATTGCAGTTTTTGTAACTCACGATTTATGTCGACAGCATACAATAAACTAAGTTGTTATTACACACAGCCTTATGGATAGTCACACCAAGAACCACTGTCAGTTGTAATTAAGAGATTGAGTTGTGACAGATTCCAAAGTGCTTCCAGTTTTGCAGGCGTTCGCAGATATGATTCTACAATATGAAGAATTGAGTAAGTGTAGCATCACTCCCATAAAACGATAGTGCTTGTAATCATCATGTGTCGTCTTCATAACAAGATTCTATATCAAGGAACATTTAGCGACTATAACAATTATTTTGATATTCTATGACAAATATTGGCAGAATATTTTCTCTTGTGTAAATCGTAAAACTTCTTGGATTTTCGAATAATCAACTATTTCGGGCTAGATAAAACATTTCTTAACTGCGGGGCTTTTCACCATAAACTCTTCTAATTAACAAAAATATAATGAAAGATGACACCTGACAACATGGCGTCTGATGGACTTCCTTGTCACGACATGAGCTTTCTGGCATCCATCTCCTGCGAACGACAATTCGAGTTATTTCTTTTTCCCCATTTATACACTGTAAAGAAATTAGAGAAAAGTTAAAAACCAAATAAACGAAAAACGAAACAAAACTACAAATAGAAAAGGAGTAAGAATGAAGAAAAAGCATATTTTGAAAGTGAATAATGTAATAATTTTTATCAAATTCTGAAATTGACAAAATCTACTGTCGCAAAACAGACGGTTCAGTTCGTTGTTTTTGTTTGTTCTTGTCGTTACTGGTCTAATAACATTAGGCTTTTCACACGGACCGAATATTTTTTTTCGTATATCTCCGTAAATTTGGTTTTCAACACGCGGAACTTTACAGTAGCCATTATTTTAATTAAGTAAAGCGGAAATGTCGAAAGTTTTCATAGAGTTAAGCGCTGCCTTTCACATGTCCGCGCATGCGCGTACACACACATACAAATCAAAGCAAAACACAAAAGTATAAAAAAAAACAACACTGATACATACTATGAGATATATGGGGGACTTATCTCATAAACATATCAAGCAGGATATTTCTTCTACACATACACTCCTAACTGCTGACAGTGCATAGGTATGCACACGCACACATACATACATATATATGTGAATATATATATATAATGAGAGAGATAATGAGTTAGGCAGATACATATCTGAAAGCATCTCTGGTATTATGTAAGCGAATTTTAATATTTATAAATATTTTACTGTAAATATGTAGATATTTAAGTATATAAATATATGTACCCATGTAAGTATACTTTTGTCTGTGATATATTGTATACAAAAAAAGCCAACTTGCATACAAACACATAAAATATATGTATATATTAGCATGGGCATAACATTGAGTATCTGACGGTGTATTCACATAATATTAATAATATAATAATATATTCATACAACCCAAAGATATTAATATATTTATGTTTCTTATTACATATAAAAAAAAAAAATTATACATACATAAATACAGAGTGAGGAATAAAAATAGACGTAGACAAATTCATATAAATATAGGAGTGAGTTCCTCTGTGCATACGCTTGCGTATACCATGAAACAGCAATTTCTTTTTTCGTTATTTAGTTAAATATCTATGGCAACGATACTCTGTAGATAGCGATTTTTCATAAAGTAATAGAGCGATGTTTTTGTTAATGATTTTTTGGAAACTTTTATGGTTTCTTATTATTTCCATAGCAAAAATTCTTAAGTTGGGTTGGTAACTCATACAGAAAATATAGAATTAAATCCGTATATATATATATATATATATATATATATATATATATATATATATATATATATATATATATATATATATATATGTGTATACACACACAAATATATATATATTGTAGGTCTGATGAATTGATCGTATTTACGATTCCAATGGAATAAATTATGACCATGGAATATTAGTGTTTAAGCCTTTTTATTATATCCTTACTCTGCCCTGGACATTGAGTTCTACCTGGATTCTATCCTCTTGGAAATTTTATTCAAAAAATATACATGTATGGGTATGCACCTATGTATATATATTTTTATATATTTTGCATATGTATGTGCATATTTACCACTAATATTATCTATCTATCTATCTATCTATCTATCTATCTATCTATCTATATATATATATATATATATATATATATATATATATACACAAACACAGACACACACTCACGTATATATATATATATATATATATATATATATATATCGAGTTTATCGAGAAAGACAGGAAATGTTCTTTTAAATGTTTTATTGAAGTTACATCTATCACATTTTGAATAACTTTTTGACAAATTAATTTTCGTGTCTTTGTAATTATGTATATATGTGTGTGTGTGCGTGTGTGAAAGAGAGTGAGTATTTCTTTCTGCGTGTGTGTGTTTACACAATTTATATTAAATTCAATCGATAAGGTCTCTCTTTTATTGTATCTTTCCAATTTGATATTAACTGAGTGGGTCGAAAGTACTCTAAGAAAAACGGAAGTAAAAATGGACTTTGGAGATTTTATCCGCAATTATGATCCGGATGTGCTACTAGTCATTCGAAAAATTAAAAAACAAATCCAATATTAAGTTAAAAATACACACCTTCTTCCATTTCAAACATATTCTTGATGCTCAATACTCTGTTTCTATATTTCTCTCATTCTCCTGTCTCTTCATCTCTCTCTCTCTCTCTCTCTCTCTCTCTCTAGACACACACACATGCGCACACACACACACATGTATGTATACACACAAACACACACACACACTCACACATACATACATACATACATATATATATATATATATGTATATACACAAACACACACACACGCATTATATATATATATATATATATATATATATATATATATATATATATATATATATATATATAAAAAAAACCCTAATTTTTTTTAGAACTAGTGATGTGACATGATGAACCAGGAAAAATATATTTTCTGGGGAAATAAATTATAGTCATGGAAAAAACTTAAGTTTGTCTATTTCTTAATTATTTAATATATATATATATATATATATATATATATATATATATATATATATAGATGTGTATGTGTGCAGTGTGGGTGTGTGTGTGTGTATCTGACGGTGTATTCAAGTTTTGAATTAGAAAAGCGCTCTGCAATATTCTACAAACTTACTGCATGAAAGATAAGTAAACTATGAATGAAGCTAAGTAACGTAATTTTTCTGCATATTCTCTTATTGAATTTTTATGTATTTATTACTTATTTATTTTTATGTACTTTTATTTATTTATTTATCTATTTTTTAAAGGTAATTAGCCGTTTTCTTTTAATCCTTTAAAATGTTTATGGTGATGCAATATGTTGACTTGAGAAAGGAGCATTTCTTTTAAGGAAGTAGATAGTTATTTATTTTTATGTACTTTTATTTATTTATTTATCTATTTTTTAAAAGGTAATTAGCTTTTTTTAATCCTTTAAAATGTTTATGGTGATGCAATATGTTGACTTGAGAAAGGAGCATTTTTTTAAGGAAGTAGATAATTAGAGTTTATTTATTTATCTATTTTTTAAGGTAATTAGCCGTTTTTTTTAATCCTTTAAAATGTTTATGGTGATGCAATATGTTTTATTTATTTATTTATCTATTTTTAAAGGTAATTAGCCGTTTTTTTTAATCCTTTTAAATGTTTATGGTGATGCAATATGTTGACTTGAGAAAGGAGCATTTTTTTAAGGAAGTAGATAGTTATTTATTTATTTATCTATTTTTTAAAGGTAATTAGCCGTT